GCCACCTTCCTAAGCCTGATATCATGCTAAGTGCTGTGTTAGTTGGTCAGTCGTGTCCAACTCTTTGCAACCCCATGGATTGTAGCCTGCCAGGCTCCTCTGTCCATGGGATTTTCCGGGCAAGAATACTGGAGTGGATTGCCATTTCCTTCTCCAGGGGATCTTCCCAACCCAGGGGTCAAACCCGGGTCTCCCGTATTGCAGGCAGACTCTTTACCATATGAGCCACTAAGGTGCTAGGTGCTGGGAATCTCCAGATAAGTGAAATGGGGTCCCTGTCTTCAAGGGGATATCAACCACGACAGACACGTCCAAGGGGCAAGGGGCAAGGGGCGAGGGCAGAGGGGCAAGGGTGTGGGGTGAGGGCAGTATCTTTGAGCTGGATTTTGAAGAATGTGTAAGATTTCAAGGATGTGGGACCAAGGGAGTTGGTGTTCCGGGCCAAGTGGACAGCTTGTGCAGAGCACAGACAATGCAAAAGAACACAGTGTGGTCAGGCAGTGATGAGTGATTTGGGGAGGTCAGATCATGAGGGTGTGAGTGGGGGTGGACTACTGGAGAACAGAGGGGGTGGGGAGCACCTGCTAACTGAGAGCTGAGCACCTGCTAACTGAGAGCTCTGAGTGTTAAGATCTTGGCTGTGATCCCGCAGGCAACAGGAAGGGGGTGAACTCATCTAAGCTCATGGTCAGATTGAGATAGCACTGAGGTGACAGCAATTTTTGCTAAACGTCATAAATAAAACTATAGACAAGCCGGGAAGCAGTGCCAAGGCCACCGTTAAAGAGCACCGGTATAATTAAGGAACACTTTAAACTTCTATTAGCCATAATGAGAAACATGAAAGAAATGCAGTCTGGGACTCCCCTGGCATTCCAGTGGTTAGAGACTCTACGCTTCCACTGTGGGGGGACATGGGTTTGATCCCAGGTCAGGGAACTAAGCTCCTGCATGCTACGCAGTGCAGTCAGAAGAAATAAATTAAAAAAAAAAATACAGCCTTTCTGCCTCTCTGAAGAGATACTGGGGAAACAAAGCTCTGGTTAATAAGGTCAGCCTGGGGAAACTGGAAAGAAGTTTTGCCTATGGTGGTGGCTGGAAAGGAGGATGAGGCAGACTATGTTCCCCTGAAATCTCATCAAAGAGGACCTGGGCCTCGCCTGACTGAGTGGGGCTCCACACACAGGCATCTCGTGCCTGGGACACCTGGGAGCAGAGTCTCTGTGACAAGGACAAGAGCACTTGGTTCTGTGCAGGTGGATAACCTAGTGGTGGGGCCTGTCTTGCTGGGAGCTGCTAAGCTAATGAATAAGAAGTTTCCTCTCCCAGGACAAGTCTTCCCTTGCCTCCTGTAGCATGCTTCGACTTCTAAGAAATTTCTGACCAAAAAGATGGTTCTTTTGTTACTTCTCCTTTTATTAAATCTAGGCATTCACTCCACAAACATTAATCAAGTGCCTTATATATATGCCTGTGATTCAGGAGTCCCAGGTTCAATACCTGGGTGGGGAAGATCCCCTGGAGGAGGGCATGGCAACCCACTCCAGTATTCTTGCCTGGAGAATTCCATGGACAGAGGAGCCTGGCAGGCTACAGTCCATGGGGCTGCAAAGAGTCAGATACAACTTAACGACTAACACTTTCACTTTATATATGTACCAGGTACATTCCAGGTGCTCGGAGATCCAATGATGAACAAAACAGACAAGGCCCCTGCCCTAATGGAATTTACACTCTAGCAGAGGAGACAGATAAGACATTGTAACTAAATTAATATAGAATATAATTTCAGATAGTGATGACTGCTATAAGATGTGAGCAAAGGATAAAGTGACAGAGAGAGACTAGAGGCTTTAACTAGAATGATCACAGAGGTTCTGTCTGAGAGGTAACCTTGGAGCTGACTTGACTTCTATAAAGGAAGCATTCATGCAACCATCTGGGGAAAGAGCCCTCCAGGCAGAGGGAGCAGCAAATCAAAGACCCTGTGATTGAAAGAGGCTGGGCATGCTGGGGATTAGCATGAAGGCCAGTGAGGCTAGAGCGGAGGAAGAAAGTAGGAGGGTAGTAGGATTGGTGGTCAAGGGGGGCATGGTTGTGGGACCAGAGCACATAAAACCCAGGAGGAATGTGAGGGGACCCAATCATCTGATACACACTGTTAGGTGGAAATGTTGGCTGCATGCATGCGTGCTTAGTCACTTTGGTCATCTCCAACTCTGTCTGACACCCTGGACTGTAGCCCACCACGCTCTTTTGTCCATAGGATTCTCCAGGCAAGAATACTGGAGTGGGTTTCCATGTCCTCCTCCAGGGCATCTTCCCCACCCAGGGATTGAACCCATGTCGCTTATGTCTCCTACATTGGCCAGCAGGTTATTTACCACTAGCACCCCTGGGAAGCCCCTGGAAATGTTGGCTACACAGATGCTATAGGAATGTGGAGTTCAGGGATGAGGCTCAGTCTAAAGACAGAAGTTTTGGATTCTAGTGTCTACATAGTATTGAGAAAGTGTGAATGAGATCATCTATAATATGGATGGTGAAGGAAATGGCAGCCCACTCCAGGATTCTTGCCTGGGGAATCCCATGCACAGAGGAGCCTGGTGGGCTATAGCCCATGGAGTCACAAAGAGACACAACTGAAGTGGCTTAGCACACAGAGTATGGTAGTCAGTAGCCCCATGGGACTACTGAACATTTGAAATGTGGCCAGCCCAAATTGAGAAGTGCTAGACGTGTAAAATACAAACCAGATTTCAAAGACAGTATGAAAAAAAAAGAACATAAAATACCTCATTGATATTATTTTTATAATGATTACGTGTTAAAATGATAAGACTTTGGTTCTAAGTTAAATACAATACATTATTAAGATTAACTTCAAAAAAAAAAAAGATTAACTTCACCTGTTTCTTCTTGCTTTTTAAAATGTGGCTACTAGAAAATTTTAAATTACCTCTGTGGCTTGCAATTGTGGCTCCTGTTAACATTTCCATGTGATGGTGCTGGTTAGAAAATCACTGTAGATAAAGGAAAGGACCAAGGGTAGAGCCCTCAAATGCTACAACATTTCACATTCAGGGAAAGGAGGAAGATACAGCCAACGGGGGTGAGAAGGAACAGCCAATGAGGTAGAGGAAAATGAAGGGAGTATGATCTGATGTTCAGAAAGGCAAGTGATAAAATTATTCAACAAAGAGGGAGTGTCAGATGCTGCTGGGAAGGCAGGTCAAGCAGCAGATTGTTGGATTGAACATGAGCAGTTTTACTGCAGTGGTTTGGAAGTAGTTGGATTTGGAAAGCTGGTTGGAGAGAGCACAGAAGTGAAGACATAAGAGTGGTAAGTTAAGAGATCTCTTTAAAGTTTGGCTTTAAAGAAATGCAGAGAAATGGGTGGTAACAGGAAGAGGATTTCAAATCTAGAGGAGGTTCATGTGTTTGGTTGTGGTTGTTGGCTTGTTGGTTTGGAAGGGGAGACAGCTCTGCTGATGGTGGTACTGCCCTTGGGGCCCTCAATTGGGGAAATAAGGCAAGTACGCCAGAAAGAATTTGAGACAGTTGAAACTCAATTATTATTTAGATTGAATGATTTTCTTAGACCTCTAGGAACACAGATGCCGGCAGGACGCTTTCTTTCTTTGTTTTACCTTTGTCTTTCATCTTTTTCTTTTTGGTTGTCCTTCCCCTTCCTTCTTCTACCCCTGACAGGGGTGGGTCAAAAGCAACGTTAGCCTGCTGTGGCCTGCTATTTTGGAAAATGGTCTCCTTTTCCATGGGCTTCTTTAAAGCTCAGAGATAGTTTATTTCCCAAGTATCTAAGAAGCCTTTCTTAGTTGCAAGGGAAAGGGTACTTCCATGTTTATTAAGACGTCACAGGGACTCATCAGTGATGTGAATTGTTCCTGGCCTAAGGAATTCTCCTGTTCTCCTGTTGAATTTCTGAGGGGCTTCTGAATTTCTCTATCCCTTTGCTCCTTCCAGATCTCCAGATGGAACTTGTGTGTGTGTGTGTGTGTGTATGTGTGTGTGTATAGTTTGTGTCATAATTAGTGAGTACTGTGTGGATCTGGAGTTGTCATCTTCAGGCAGAATTGTGATATTGGATCATAGAGTTTGAGTAACTTGAATAAAATGTCAATGCCTTTCAGTCAAAGCCCTGGAACACATCTGCCATTGAACAAGCTGGTTTTATTATTCATTGCAGTGAGAAAGAACACACACCCCTGGGGAACCATGGGACTTCTCAGTGAGAAAGTCTCAAGTCATTTTGATACCAGGACCCTGTCAGCTTCCCATGTGGTTTGGAAACTTTTGCTTGCCAAGGCCTCAGTCACTCTCAGTGGGTGACCGTTCAAGTTCGCCTTCACCTCAGAGCCTGTGGTCACCCCTCTCTAGCTCCAGAGAAATATCAGAGCTTACAGCTAGAGGGCAGTGCAGGCTGGGCCTGGAGCCCATCCATGAAACAGCAATGGTGGCTTGACTGTTTCTGGAAGCAGAACAGATCCAGGGTAGGGAGAGGGGATCCACAACCTACTTAATTCAACTTGATGGCACTTGAATCAAGACCCCAAGGGAAGCTATGATAAGGAGCTATGATAAGTCTCTGCCTGCCTCTCCACAGTGCTCCTGCTGTATGTGAATATAGCATCCTTTCTCTGGGTTATGGTACTGATTAGAACCCTTCCCCTCCACACACCAACTCCCATTAAAAATGTCAGTATAATTTAAAAAGTGCAATTATCAATTGACATGCTTCCCTAGACGTATCATCTCTAGCTTTGGCTAGAAAATGTGAATGGAAAATGTATGGTATTATGATTGAGGTTAATATACAGGAAAAAAATCTAAAGCATTATATTGTTGTTGTTTTAGTTGCTAAGTCATGTCTAACTCTTTTTGACTCCATGGACTATAGCCCTCCAGGCTCCTTTGTCCGTGGAATTCTCCAGGCAAGAATACTGGGTGAGTTGCCATTTCCTTCTCCAGGGGATTGTGCCTACCCAGGGTTTGAAACTGGGTCTCCTGCATTGGCAGGCAGGTTCTTTACCACTGAGTCACTCGGGAAGGCCAAAGCATCACATAGGAATACCTATATCTTGGCAGCAAAAACAGTACAGAAGATGAAAAATAATACGAAATTTTAGAGTATTATTTTTAAATATGTAAGTAATTCCTTGTGCTTTTGAGTCTACAGAGGCTAAAATTTAAACAAAAAGCTTGTTGAAATTATTGCTATGTATTATGCATCAGTTCTTTAAATAAAAAATTTGAGACTTGCCTAAAAAAAGAAAATGTACAGTAGACTCTCAGTTGATTATCTGCACTAATGGAAAGGAGGCCAGGGACAGATAATTCTCCTATGACATAGAATCAGAGTCAAGGGAGAATTATACTTTTGATGGTCACTTTGGCTGTTTCTCATTTTGGGCTACTTAAAACAATGCTGTGAGAAGCATTCTTGCATGTATATTGTTGTCTGCAAGTGTGAGTATAGTTACAGGGTAAAGTTCCAGTTGTGATGTTATTGTATCGAAGTTATTGTGTATTTTTTTACTTTGATACTGTGAAATTGCTTATTCAGAGAGCAATTTATACTCCATAATGTATGAACGTGTCTATTTTTCCCATCTTTGTCAGCATGGAACATCAAAATTAAAACTTCTTGACAATCTGACAGGTGAAAATGTTGGCTTGATATTTTTATTTACATTTCTTTAATTATGAGCATTTCTTTATGTATTTCTTTTTTGATAAACTTCCGATTGTATCATTTGCCCCATTTTATATCAAGTTGTTTGTCTTTTATTGATTTATATGCACTCTTGACAATTAAGAAAATCGACCCTGAAGTCTATATTTGCTGTAAGTATTACTTCCTAGTTTGTTATTCTTTTGCTGACTACTTTTTTTGGCCAAAAGTTTAAAATTTTTATGTAGTCAGGTATCTCAATTTTTTCTTTATAGCTATCTATATAGCTATAGCTATATCAATACAATTCTGTCTGCCTGGGTACACCCATGAATAGTAAAAGGCCTCCAAATCTAATGGGCCCACACACAAAGCAATAGATCAGGTTTTGTATATTTGTCTTTTATTTTTTGGTAACAGCTTTATTTATTTATTTATTCTTGGCTGAGCTACATGGCATGTGGGATCTTAGTTTCCTCACCAGGGATCAAACTTGCACCCCCTGCATTGGAAGCATGGAGTCTTAACCACTGAACTGCCAGGGAAGCCCCAGTAATAGCCTTACTGAGCTATAATTCACATATGATACAATTCACTCTTTTAAAGTATGCAATTCAGTGCTTTTTAGTATATTCAAAGATTTGGAGACTTCCCTGGTGGTTAAGAATCTGCCTTCCAATGCAGGGGATTCAGGTTTGATCCTTGGTTGGGGAACTTAGATTCCACATGCCACAGAGCAACTAACCTGCAAGCCACAACTAGAGAACCCTCACACCACAGTAAGGATCCCAGGTGCCACAACTAAGACCCTAGGCAGCCAAATAAATAAAATTTTTAAAAACCAAAGATTTGTATGACTATCACAATTAATTTTAGAATATTGTTATCACCTCAGAAAGGAATTCTGTGCTCTGTCACTCAAAAAAAGCACCTCTAGCCCTAAGCAAAACACTTTCTGTGTTTACCTATCTTGTACATTTCATGTAAAATGGAATCATTGTCTTTTTTAAAGGACGAATAGTTCTCTCTAATGGCAGTTCCCTTTGTATATCTTTTCTTGCATAGTTTAAGAATCTAACTGGAGGATAAGGAGTCAGGTAAAATGATTGTGTAATATACTGGATATCGAATGTTTTTTTTTTTTGGTTTCTTACTCTATATTTTATTTTAGTGAACCAATGATGGCTGAATCACTAAGTGAAGTTTCTGGCAGTGTGGAAGTTCTGGAGACCAGTGATGAGGGTAAGTAACCTAGTAAAATCTTGATAACTAGAACTAGATTTGTTTAGTGTGCTTAACCCCTAGAGGAAAGAATCAAGTCACAAGAAGACAAGTTCATTTCAAATTTCTAATGACAATAGACTCAGTCCATATTTACTTTTCCATCTTCTAAGCTCTTCTCTTTCATCTCAATCTCTGATAGTCTAAAAAGTTTTGTCTATACCGTCCAATCTTCCTTGAAGATGGTTGCCAAGTTCTGTTTACTAAGGCAAGAGAAGCATTTCTGCTTAATCAGAAAAAGAAATCAGAACAGGCCATGATCTGAGAGGTTCAATTGAGGTTTTGCCATAGATAGTAATCCAGATTTAACCAATAGATAAATTTGTAATTTTGAAGTGTAAAGGGGGTATAGTAACAAAAGACACCATCATAGGCTTCTATTAAATGGGAACAATTTACAAAAATTTCTTTTGCAAAACCTACTTAGATGTGTATACATTTAAATTATAATTATAAACTATGAATAACCTGTGAGTGATAGGAGACCATGAATGGGGTAATAGGCAAAGGTCACTAAAAATGATAAGTTTAACTGACACTGAAAAAAACTGTGGGGGGCGGGGGAGGAACCCTAAGATATAAGGTGAGACATTGAATTTAAAGACAGAACTGAATTGAACAGTTCACTGGGTTGTTCTTCAATGATTGCTGAGTTTTCTTAGTAGTATGTGGGGCAGAAGACTTGGTCTGGAAAGACAGAGAACAGGGAACCTTCTTGTGGCTTCCCAGAGGCCTGACTTCACTAATGAAGTGAGTAGGAGGATGCTGAACATGGTGCATGGATCCCTGAGGGCAGGGCTTGGGTCTTCATATCTGTGTCACCATTGTTCAGTATTGGGCCTCAGAGAGCGTGATTAGATACTCAAAAGTTTTTAAGAAATGAATGAATAAATAAATGTATGACAGGCCCCCTCACCAAAGCAGCCCCAACAACCAAATGAACTGACCTATCCTTTTGGATACGAGCTAGACAGATGTCTACCAAAAAAAAATGGCAATGCAGTGCATCTTGATGAAGAGTAGAGGTAAGGAAATACCCTTTCTCTGTTCACAATCCTTTTTAAGAGACCAAACATTTGGGTACATTTGTAGTATGAGTCATTGCCAGACAGAGAATACAGTGGCTGTTGGGAAGTTGAAGGGAAGAAAGGCTAATTAGAAGAATTTTCTTTCCAAGAAGCAATGCAAGAGAACAAGGGCACCATTATGTGCCTTGCATTTTGAAAGCTCATTAAGTTCAACTCAGAAGGGCTGCCTGTGTGCATGGTAGATAAGCCAATACACAACCCGAGGCAATAATTTCTTCATTGGAGTTGTGTTTTTTTCTCTGGGGGAAGATCGGGGGATGGCTTCCATGGGCTGTTTCCTGGCATGTGACATACTGCCGGCCCTCAGTGGATGGGGATGTTGAAAGCTACTGCCTGTTTGGAAATATGTAGTCCTTGGACTTGGACAGGGAGGCCAATGGCTTTGTTACAGGAGAAATCCAGACAGCTGTCAGCTCACTGACCACCACTGCTGTGCCTTGTAGGGGAATAAGTTACCCAGTGTGTAGGTGACCTACATAAGTGTTGTTGTTGTTTAGTCACTAAGTCATGTCCAACTTTTTGTGACCCATGGACTGTAGCACACTAGGCTCCACTGTCTATGGGATTTCCAAGGCAAGAATACTGGAGTGGGAGGTGGGCAAAGCTAGAGGATTTCAAGTTGCAAACCTGCTTCTTACATACCAGCAAAGAGAGACAGGAGAGAATCAGCAGGTGGCAGCTAGATCCGTGACACAATATACAAACACTTAATAACTGAATAAAAACACTTCCAATAAACTTTTCAGGCTGTAAAACTGAGGTGGCACTGCCCAGTTCTTTGTCACTGGGCAGGAATTATTTAGTGGTCTGTTGGAGCTGGCTCATGCTGACTTGAGAGGCTGTGCATGTCTGTTCCTAAATGTCATATTACTAGCTTGAAATTGACCGCAATGGGAGTATTTACACCACAGTTCAGTTCAGTTCAGTTCAGTCGCTCAGTTGTGTCCAACTCTTTGCCACATCATGAATCGCAGCACGCCAGGCCTCCCTGTCCATCACCAATTCCCGGAGTTTACTCAAACTCACGCCCATAGAGTCAGTGATGCCATCCAGTCATCTCATCCTCTGTCATCCCCTTCTCCTCCTGCCCTCAATCCCTCCCAGCATCAGGGTCTTTTCCAATGAGTCAACTCTTCGCATGAAGTGGCCAAAGTATTGGAGTTTCAGCTTCAGCATTAGTCCTTCCAATGAACACACAGGACTGATCAGGGCATTTACCCTGAGATCTAATTGGTAAATACATCCCAGTAAAAAACTGAGTATAGTCCTTAACAGAGTATAGTAATCGGGATTTTACATAAAAATCTCCCCATTTCATGGATTTTAGAAATCCTTAGGGGGTGGGAAGATTAAGAAAGCTGGGGAGCAAAATGCAGATTATTTTAGAGCCAGCCTACTCTGTCCTGTATACTTTTCAGCACTTCCATGTTGAATCCTCACAGTAGTTCTATGAGGTCAAACATCATTTTAAATAATTCATTATCCTAGAAATTCATTTAATTTTCTTCCTTAAAAAATTAAAGAATGGAACTTGGAAACATAAATATTTCCTAATGTGTCTTCATGCTTTATTCTGTCTGTCTCAAGGTACACTTGCCAAATTTATCCTAACCATGACCCTATGTAGGTATATCCTAGTAAATGAGAGATTCCTCAGACCATTCAGAACTGAAGTTACTTAAGCAGCGATTATCAAGCATACATACTACCATCTTCCTTCATTGCCCCAATGGCGCTTCTCTTTATCTATAGATGGTTAGATGGTTAGAATTGATAGATCTGTTTTACAGGTAGAATTGAATCTGGTCTTTTTTTGTCATTTATTTTTATTAGTTGGAGGCTAGAATTGAATCTGGTCTTAATAGACAATTATTGATTCCTTAATTCTAGCTCATTTATTAGCATTTACTAGATGCCAGATCTTATGCCAAACTCTTTACCACATTATTTACAATTTGTATCAATCCCGATAAGGGCCAGTATTTAAATGATAGGATGCTTAAGAATGGCTCTGCACAGTGATCTCAATTTAAGGGATGTGGCAAGCTATGTTGGTTTTCTGCACCCCTCAGTGGATTCAGTTGTCTCTGGAGTGTCACAGTGTGTTTGCACTGTGCTAGTTGCTAAAAAGGATGCTTAAGAGGGCCTGGCTACAGCCCTGAGGTGGGGGACAGTAGCTAAGACATAGAACCGCATTTTATTCCTTTCTCATTGATACGCAAAACATAGTAAGTGCTTGACCTTAATAAATGTTCGCTGAATAGTTGAATGAATGAATGAATGCACAGACTAGAGAACATTCAGATGCAAAATGTGTGGTGCCAACAGTCAAGTTTTAAGTGTGCAAAGAGGAGCATGAATTGTAGTGGTGGTGGAAAATTGGACTTAAGGCAGGCCTTGAGGTTTAGAAACCTTTCTAAAGTTTCTATTCTAGGCAGGCCCAGGAGTAATCAGTACACAGACAGGCCATAGTATTTCAGCACTAGAAGGAGCCCTACTTCAGCATTTGCCTAAGTGTGTTTTGCTAGACGTTCTGCATACATGCATTGGGGAGACAACATTGTTACCCAGTTTCTTGGCACTTCACCATCCACATAGGCATGTTGAAGTTTCAGAAAAGTTTTGTTGGAACACAGACTGCTAAACTGTGTTTAATCAGCATTTTCCAGATTGACTAGACTGCAGACCCCCCTTTTCATGCAACAGACCTATGAGCATCCCTCTGAACACACTTTGGGAGACACTGATTAGCATGATCCCCTCATTTTCCAGCTGAGCCCCAGAGAGGTTGAATGACTTACCTGAGGTTACAAAGCTAATCTATAGCAGAGCCAAACCAAGCTCAGGATTCTAGAGTTTTCTTACTCTCTGGTGGTGTTTTCCATCACATCACTAAGCCTATGTTGTAACAGTCTTGTTGGCTTCTAGAGACCAGGCTGTTGGGAATTGGAATGAGACACCTGAGTTGGTAAATTACTGCATGTGAAGCAGTAAGAGCAGGTTCCTTCTCACGGATGAATGCAGCACAAACTCCTCTCCCCTTCCCCTCTTCTGAGCCTGGAGAAGGATATATGTACTTATTAGGAAACTCAAGAAAACCCAGAGAGAGCCTGAGGAGCATTGAAAGCTGCCCTGGTTTTTTGTGTTTTTTTTTTTAAATGATAGTAGAACAAACTTTCAATTATCTGCATGTGCAGAGGGCAGTAGCCCTGTAGCTAACCTGAACCAATCAGCAATAATTGAGGAACAGTGCACATAATTCACCCACACATACACACACACACACATGCACCCTCCCTTGCAAAATTCTTTGGTTTCGTTGTCACGCCTTTTGCACAAGGTGCTTCTTTGCCCAGCACCCCTTTCTTCCCAATTCCCGGCCCTCTCCCTTCCTCATAAAGCCCTTCTTAGAAGACATCTTCCATGACCACACCAACCCCCTGCACTTGTTCCTTGGGTCTGCATCCTTGCAGCACACAGGTTGGGCAATACCAGCTCCCACATGGATTTCCAAAGGTCCTGAAGTATCTGTCACATATGGAAGCTTGGTTTCCCAGCTGGATCACGAAGACTCCAGTGATCAGGGTACCAAGTGCTTATGTTGGCTCAAAAGTTGCTGCGTATGAATGAACTTCTTAGGACCAGGAAAGAGGTGTGTGTTAATGGTTGAAATTGAGAGGCAAGTGAATGCAGAGTGAGTTGAGCCTGAATAGAGGCTGCCCAGAGGCCACAGGCTGGGGTCTGAGCTTCTGCTTTCACCAGAAACTTGGATATTTTGTTGGTGAGTTCCTAAGAAGAGAACAAAGCAGATGAATGATGCCAGGGGCACTGGTGTGAAAGCTAGGACCCACAAGGCCTCTGGGATCCTACTCCTCATTCCCATCATGAAAGCCATTTCCTCTCCTGTCTTCCCTTCCACCATCATACTCTGCCTCAATTGCATTTCTAACTTCCAGGAAAAAAGAAATCCAAATTTAAAGTCTTCAGGAGCTTCTTTGGCAAGAAGAAGAAGAAAGAGTCCAAAGATGCCCAGGGAGGGATACGGCTCAAACAAAGCTTGTCCAGCAGCAGTATTGACATCTCTTCTCTGAAGTCAGTTCAAGAAGGTCAACAAACCAAGGCAGGGTAAGCTCAGGAGGGGTGGAGGCCAGGGACAAGGCAAAGGGCAGGGAGCTACATCCAGGTCCTCCTTTGGTGGCTGAATCATCACTGGCCTTTGGTCCCCAGGGGCTCTTGGTCACCCTGCCTGTGGGAGGTGGGTCTGCAGCCATTGCCAGTGCAGCCACATCCTGGGGGGTTTCCCCTGTGCTCATAGATACATGCTTGCTGTCTGGGCTTCACAGCTCAGTGGGTTGGATGGGGCATACCAAATGCATACCCCACTCCCCTAAGAGCACTGGGTGAGAGGGTGTGGGTAGATCAGGGCAATCCTGCTGTGTCACAGTTACAAGCACTTGAGATGTGGAGCCTACCACTAGAGAGGAGCTGGTGGCCTCTGTTTCATAAGTGAAGGATAGTCTCCATCATTTTGGAAGCTTGATCTGATTTGCTTGCCCAACCCTCAGACTCCAGATCTCACAATGTGTGATTAAAATCTTAGATGGTGAAGCCATCTAGCTGGGTTGGGACATAAGGATGAAATCACTGTGTTAATTTAAAAAAAAAACAAGCAAGCAAGGAACCCAAGTCTATTTCTCCCTCCATCCCAAGAGACTAGGGGAAATGCTGTAACTGATCATATAAAGTATGGGGAAGACTGTTTCTCAGCCACCTCTGCCACTCCTATTCTTATTTTCATCTTTGAAGACCCAAATTCCACATCCTAGAAATGTGGAAAATCTGGATGCCCAGTATCCACCCAGCTCTTTCTGGATCAATTGAATTCCCCTCTATGGAGTTCCACTTGGGCTTGTTCCCCTGGCCTTAAACCCCAGACTTATCTGAAATCCCAACAGAACTCAAGTGTCCTGCTATCCATTGCCTCAAGGCTTTGCTTGGAGGTAATGAAAGCTAGTAGAGGTGATGGAATTCCAGTTGAGCTATTTCAAATCCTAAAAGATGATGCTGTGAAAGTGCTGCACTCAGTATGTCAGCAAGTTTGGAAAGCTCAGCAGTGGCCACAAGACTGGAAAAGGTCAATTTTCATTCCAATCCCAAAGAAAGGCAATGCCAAAGAATGTTCAAACTACCACACAATTGCACTCATCTCATATGCTAGCAAAGTAATGCTCAAAATTCTCCAAGCTAGGCTTCAGCAGTATGTGAACTGAGAAATTCCAGATATTCAAGCTGGATTTAGCAAAGGCAGAGGAACCAGAGATCAAATTGCCAACATCCGTTGGATCATAGAAAAAGCAAGAGAGTACCAGGAAAACTTCTGCTTTATTGACTACGCCAAAGTCTTTATGTGGATAACAACAAACTGTGGAAGATTCTTAAAGATGGGAATACCAGATCACCTTACCTGCTTCCTGAGAAGTCTGTACACATGTCAAAAAGCAACAGTTAGAACTAGACATGGAACAATAGACTGGTTCCAAATTGGGAAAGGAGTACATCAAGGCTGTATCTTGTCACTCTGCTTATTTAACTTATATGCAGAGTCAGTTCAGTTCATTTCAGTTGCTCAGTTGTGTCCAACTCTTTGCAACCCCATGGACTGCAGCACACTAGGCCTCCCTATCCATCACCAAACTCCTGGAGTTTACTCAGACTCATGTCCATTGAGTTGGTGATGCCATCCAACCATCTCATCCTCTGTCGCCCCCTTTTCCTCCCACTTTCAATATTTCCCAGCATCAGGGTCTTTTCAAAAGAGCCATTGGAAGAGACCCTGATGCTGGGAAAGATTGAGGGCAGGAGGAGAAGGGGAAGACAGAGGATGAGTTGTTTGGATGATATCACAGACTCAATGGACATGAATTTGAGCAAGCTCCAGGAGTTGGTGATGGACAAGGAGGCCTGGAATGCTGCAGTTCATGGGGTCGCAAAGAGTAAGATGCAACTGAGCAACTGAACTGAACTGAACTAATAAGGCAGTTAGCAAATGTGTTATACTGCCTACTAACAGCACAGAGGTCTCTTTAAAATAGACCTTAATGAGTGCATTGAATGTGAGGAATTTCAGATAGCTTTACTAGGGAGGGAGATGGTTTTGCACCGAGGGGCTTGCTTCATACCTCACAAACCATACATTATAGACCATTGCCTTATAGGTCTCAGTCAGTTCAGTCACTCAGTCATATAGATATAAGGAAGACTAAGATTAGCTCTACTACAATCCAGAGGGTGGGGTGGAAGAGGGAAGATCTTTTATAACTTTCACCTTAATAATAGCAAGACTCGGAGTCTTCCTTCCCCTTCCACAGTGTTGTCACTGCTGAACTGTATACTTTCAGTGGTGAATTATATGGTATGTAAGCTATATCTCAGTAAAGCTATTTATTAAAAAATGTGTGGATCATTTGAAAACATTAAAATTATGCAGAAGTACATAGAGTATAAAATGAAAGTACTTCTGCTCTTCCTAGTGCCATTCCTCAGAGGGAAACACCGCTAACAAATTGGTGGATATCCTTCCAGACTTTTCTCTGTGATCACAAACTATATATGTATGTAGTATATGTGTGCTCAGTCACTTCATTCATATCTGACTCTTTGTGAACCCATGGACTGTAGCTCTCCAGGCTCCTCTGTCCATAGGATTCTCCAGGCAAGAATACTGGAGTGGGTTGCCATGCCCTCCTTCAGGGGATCTTGCCAACCCAAGGATCGAACGGGAGTCTCTTATGTCTCCTAAACTGGCTGGCAAGTTCTTTACCACTAGCGCCACCTGGGAAGCCCATGTCATATATGTATATATATTAAATGGGACCATACTATTCTTTATTTTTTTCACTCAACATCTCACGGAAGACTGTGTGTGTCAGCACATATGCTTCTGAGGTGTCTGTGGTAGGCCATAGTATAGATACACATGTATCTTTGGTTCCCTTGGCTGCTTTCATAAGACTTTTTCCTTCCTGGTCAGGGCCAAGAACAGAATTGGGACCAGAGCCCTGTCTCATGACAGCATCTTTGTGTTGAAGCCTGACGCTGAAAGATCAGAAAGGAAGCTATACCCCTCTCCAGAGATCCCAAGAGGCAGACCTTTGCAGGTAATGGTGAACTCGAGCAGCAGTGCATACTTGTACTACTCCTGACTCCACCCCCACTGTTGTAAACGCTGAATGAGAGAATATCTAAGTATATGATGTGCTTCCCTAGGTCCTGACACACAGTATTGGCCAGGATCACCATATTCACTTCTCTTTATGCTCCCCAAAAATGCTCTGAGTATTATAATGGTGACATTAATGTGCAGGCATTCCAACCCCCATGTTTTTTCTTTCTTCCACAGAGATCTCCTGTTTTTATTACTCCGCCTAGAGCTGAGATTGGTAGCATGCATGAAGCTGTGTTTGGAACTGTGCCAAGAGGTAGAGCCAGAAGTGAATTGTGTGTTGCAGGCTCCAAGACCACCGAGGTAATAAAGTAGAATTGTTCAAAGTCAAACAGACAGACCTATGCTTGAATCCCTGCTCTATTATTTATTGGCCCTGTGACTTTGGGCTGATTACTTAATCTCTCTGAGCCCTCCTTTCTTCATCTATAATGGGTATATATAAATATCTAGTTCAAAGGGTTGCCTGTGAGGATTGAATAAAGACTCAGAGAGATTAAAGAAATTGTTCCAGCTTACCATATAGTTAGTGGTAGCCCTGGAACTCTGATTCAGATGTGTTGACCTCCAGCCTTTAGTCTTTCCATTAGCCCAGTCTGTAAGATAATGAAATTCTCTGGCCCTGCCTCAACAGGAAGGAGGGTACATCTTTGGTCTCCATTGTCTGAGGAGGCCTCACAAATAGCTGAGAAAAAAGAGAAGGGAAAGATAAGGGAGAAAGGGAAAGATATATCCATCTGAATATAGACTTCCAGAGAATAGCAAGGAGAGATAAGAAAGCCTTCCTCATGATTAATGCAAAGAAATAGAGGAAAACAATAGAATGGGAAAGATTAGCGATCTCTTCAAGAAAATTAGAGATACCAAGGGAATATTTCATACAAAGATGGGCTCAATAAAGGACAGAAATGGTATGGACCTAACAGAAGCAGAAGATATTAAGAAGAGGTGGCAAAAATACACAGAACTGTACAAACAAGGTCTTAGGTAACCACTATGGTAACCACATTGGTGTTACCATCTATCGCCTAAAGATAGATAGATATCCTGGAGTGTGAAGCCAAGTGGGCCTTAGGAAGCATTACTATGAACAAAGCTAGTGGAGGTGATAGAATTCCAGTTGAGCTATTTCAAATCCTAAAAGATGATACTGTGAAAGTGTTGCACTAAATATGCCAGCAAATTTGGAAAACTCAGCAGTGGCCACAGGACTGGAAAAGGTCAATTTTCATTCCAATTCCAAAGAAGGGCAATGCCAAAGAAGGTTCAAACTACCACACAATTGTACCCATTTCACATGCTAGCAAGGCCATGCTCAAAATCCTTCAAGCTAGGCTTCAACAGCCTGGAATTTCACACTATGTACTCCGCATATAAGTTAAATAAGCAGGGTGACAATATGCTGCCTTGACATATTGTTCCCAATTTGGAACCAGCCTGTTGTCCTGTGTCCAGTTCTAACTGTTGCTTCTTGACCTTCATACAGGTTTCTCAGGAGACAGGTAAGGTGGTCTGGTATTTCCATTTCTTTAAGAATTTTCCACAGTTTGTTATGATCCACACAGTCAAAGGCTTCTGAGTATTCAGTGAAGCAGAAGTAGATGTCTTTCTGGAATTCTCTTGCTTTTTTCTATGATCCAACGGATGTTAGCAATTTGATCTCTGGTTCCTCTGCCTTTGTTAAATCCAGCTTGAACATCTGGAAGGTCTCAGTTCACATACTGCTGGGGGAGAAATGGAAACAATGACAGACTTTATTTCCATGGGCTCCAAAATCACTGTAAACAGTAACTACGGCCATGAAATTAAAAGATGCTTGCTCCTTGGAAGGAAAGCTATGACAAACCTAGACAGTGTATTAAAAAGCAGAGACATCACTTTGCCAACAAAAGTCTGTCTAGTCAAAGCTGTGGTTTTTCCAGTAGTCATGTATGGATTGTGAGAGTTGGACCATAAAGAAGGCTGAGAGCCAAAGGATTGATACTTTTGAACTGTCACGCAAGAGAAGACTCTTGAGAGTCCCTTGGACTGCAAGATCAAACCAGTCAATCCTAAAGGAAATCAACCCTGAATATCCATTGGAAGGACTGATGCTGAAGCTGAAGCTCCAATACTTTGGCCACCTGATGCGAAGAGCCAACTCATTGGAAAAGACCCTGATGCTGGGAAAGATTGAGGGCAGGAGGAGAAGAGGGCGACAGAGAATGAGATGGTTAGATGGCATCACAGACTCAATGGACATGAGTTTGAGCAAACTCCAGGTGATAGTGAAGGACAGGGAAGGTTGGTGTGCTGCCGTCCATGGGGTTGCAAAGAGTCAGACACAACTTAGTGAGTGAGCAACAAAAACCAAGTAAAGCCTTCCGTAAAAGTTAGCTGCCATTAGTACAGTGATTATTATTATAATTGTGCTTTGGAATTGTTAATCCCCAAGCTTTGTTCTTAAGAGCCCCCAGAGGGGCCTAGTAGTCATAAGAGGGCACCTTAGACATTGGCCAGGAGTACCCCACAGGCGGAAACTCAATGTGGCCCCTTTTCTTTGGCTTTGAGAGTTTGATACCCATCTGTCCTGAGCAGGAGCAGAACCTATGATGGAATCAAGCATGTCAGTTCCATGTCAACGAGGATTTTGTTTTGTTTATTGCTGTAGACCCAGTGCCTAGAATGGGTGTGGCACATTGTACATGCTTAGCCAGTATTTGTTAAAGATAAAATTGGGGGTTCTGATACACATCAAGAGGATCATGGCAGGGGCCAGTGCCTCAAATTCAAGTATAACATGAACTCCTAACTGGAATCAACTAAATCAGCCTGCTGATGCTCAAGGTAAAACCAAATGAACAATTTTTATCCCCTTCAGAAAACTAGTCATCCAGTTCTAACCAGGAATAGTTGTGTAGATTTTCTAAAATTGCCAGAAAGTCAGTCTCAACAGGCTTAAGATAAGCAACCAACACAGTCAAGATTCCATCCAGACAATTCCTGGACAGAGAGAATGATAGAAATAAAGATTGTAGCCTGGATGCCAAGCCCAGAACACAACCCAAAGGCTCACCTCCCCAAGATATGGACTTCCAAAGACAAGACCAAAATCAAAACAAAGATCAGACTCAAATAAGATTTCTAGTTGGCATCAGTAGGAGATAACACCAGAATTCTGGTTTTGAGCAAGGAAGCAATTTAAAGTTTCTGTCTTTGGGATTGGCAAAAGTGTGCAGCAATCCAGAGGGTGAACCCAGGCTATTTATTAGTCTTTGGTTTGAGTAGGTACTAGAAGTGAAGACAAGGAAGTGGGAGATTCTTTCCTTGGCTCATTTTTCTTTTTTCCCACTTTGGGTTCTTAACCCTTCAACCTTTGAGCAACAGGTAGTTTAGGGGAAGGCACACAAGTTTTTAACTTTTTCTTTCTATACTCTTCCTTGACAGATCCCACTACTGCGTCCATGCCAACGCAGCATCAGCTCACATCTCATTCAATCTGACACCATCTCTAAGGATCTTGAAGAAATGTCTGTTGATTATGAGCCACTTAAGAAGAGTTCATCATACAATATCTTGACATGGGAGAAGGTGAGTGTTAGTTCTGGCTGAAGTTGCAGGTTATGGGCGGCGGGTGCACAAGTCAGAGGCATAATTTCTTCTTGCCTATCTTTTTTCCTGCTGTAGCTCAATACTAAGGGGATGTTTGGGGAAGGAGCTGCCATTTTTGGCTTTTAATTTGCTTGTTGGTTTACATTTTCTGTCCAATTCTAAAAACCAAATAATCAGCACTCTAATTTATAAGGTATGGGAGACAGTATTTCTGGAAAAAAGAGTTTGCAGATATATTCAATTCTTTCATGAAGAAAACTAATAGAGATTTTTATGGAAGTAAAGCCTCTACAATTTCAAATGCCAAAAATCCCAAAGGTTAGGGCACATAGTTTGGTTTGATAAACACATATCCATATGAAAAATCATTTCATATGAGAGGGCATGTATGTATATTTCATGCATCTAGCTTTGCCATCAACAACTGGAAAATCAGTAGACTGTCCTCATTAACACTTCCATTCACAAACTATTGTGTGGTTAATTGGATTGGCTTTTTCTACATCAATTGTGATGATCATATTATTTTTCCTTCATTCTTTTAATATGTTATATTACATTTGATTTTCATAATATATTATATAGTGATTTTCATATGTTAAACCTCCTAATTCTGGGATAAATCCCAGTTGCTCGTCATGTATAATTGCCCTTAAAATGCTGTTGGATTTGGTTGGCTAGTATTTTGCATGTGTATTCATGAGGGATATAGGTTATAGCATTCATTTCTTGTGATGCCTTTATCTGGCTTTGGAGTCATGGTAATGCTTGCCTTGTAGAATCAGAAAGTATTCCCTCTTACATGTGTTTTGAATTATTTGTGAAGGATTGGTATTATTTAAAAGTTTGGTAGAATTCACTAGTGAAGCCATCTGGTCCTGCTTTTTTCGTTGTTTAGAGGTTTTGATTACTGATTCAATCTGTTGCTATAGGTGTATTCAGGTTTTCCATTTCTTTTTCATCCAATTTTAATAATTTGGATATGTCTAGGAATTTATCCATTTCATTTAGGCTATCTATACAAGTATTCATAGTACTGTTTTATAATCCTTTTTATTTCTGTAATGTTGGTAGTAATTGTTCCCTTTCAATTCTGATGTTAATAATTTGTGTCTTATTTTTTTCTTAATCAATCTAGCTAAAAATTTGTCCATTTTGTTTTACTTTTCAAAGTACCGACTTTTGGTTTCATTGATTTTCCTTATTGTTTTTCTATTCCCTATTTCATTATCTCTGCTTTAATCTCTATTATTTCCTTCCTCTTGGTAGCTTTGGGTTTAGTTTCATCTTTCTGGGTTTCTTAAGGTGGAACATTAGGGTAGTGATTTGAGAGCTTTCTTCTTTTTTTAACAAGCATATACAGCTATACATTTCTAAAGACTGTTTTTGCTGTACCACATAAGTTTATGTTGTGTTTTATTATTAATTCATGTCAAAGTATTTTCTAACTTTCCGTTTGATTTCTTCTTTGATCCATTCATTGCTTAAGGGTATATTGTTTAGTTTCCACCTATTTGTGAATTTTCTAGTCTTCCTTCTGTTATTGATTGTATAGTTTTGTTCTGTTGTGATCAGAGAAGATATTTTGCATGGTTTCAATCTTTTAAAATTTATTAAGACTTTTTTGTAGCCTAGCATATGGTTTATACAGGAGAATGTTCCATGTGCATTTCAGAAGAATACATATTATGCTCTTGTTGAATGGACTATTATATATATATATATATATATGTTAAGTTTGCATTATTGTTTCAAGTCCTCTATTTCTTTATTGACCTTCTGTCTAGCTGTTTATTCATAATTGAAAGTGGGATACTGATGTCTCTATTATTGTATAACTGTCCATTTCCTCCTTCAGTTCTGTCAATTTTTGCTTCATGTATTCAGGAGTGGGTCTGTTGTTCTGTTTATGACTGTTCTATCTTCCTGATGGATTGACCCTTTTATCAGTATATAATGTCCATCTTTGTCTCCTACAACAATTTTGACTTGAAATGTTTTGTTTGATTTTAGTATAGCCACCTCAGCTCTCTTTTAGTTATCATTTTCTTGGAATCCCTTTAATCATCCTTTCACTTTCAACTTGTTTGTGTTTTTAGATCTAAAGCGAGTCTCTTGTAGACAGCATACAAATAGATCATGTTTTTAAAATTCATCTTGCTAATTTCTGCCTTTTGATTGCAGAGTTTAATTAATTTACATTCACAGCAATTACTAATAATGAAGGACTTCTGCCATTTAGCTCTTTATTGTACCTCGGTTCTTCCATTACTACCTTATTTTGGATTTTTTAAAAATTTATTTATTTTAATTGGAGGCTA